AGGTTGAAGAGGTGGACCTGGGGGCGGGGACTGGGGACCGCGGTGCAGATAGGGGGCGGAGGCGGTCCGGACGCCCCCAGGGTCTCTCCCGCAGATGCCTGGGCAGCCTGACGCTGCCTGTGGAGCATCGCGGAGGCGCGTTTCAGGCCATCGGGGGTCCCTGTGACTGGGCTGAGGTGGCCTAGAGACCCAGTGCTTCTGGGTCTTTCAAGTGTAGATGACACGCCCTGGGAGGTACTTGGTAACCGGTCTCTAGCTTGGTTAATCTATGCGGAATTCACCTGTGAAGCTTTAGTGACCACCTCTGCCGGGCCTGGGGCCTGCGCCCTGGTGCCCGGTCTGGGCCAGGACTGGGTGCAGCCCTGGCACCTGGCAGTCGCTGACCTGCCCTGACCTTATCATTTGCATGGTCAAAACCAAATTTGCTGTTCCTTTTTTTTTTCCCCAGAGGAAATTTCATAGCCATAAGCTAGGAATCACCCGAACACGTCTAGAAAGCATCTCTGAACGTATCACACTCAGAAGGGCCCCGGTCACTTCTCCGAAGCGTCAGAACTGTCAAGAAATGCGTCGCGTTAACTTTTGGCAAACGTAGACAGAAGGCTATTGCTCTCCTTGGTGATGTCTGGGGGCTGGGCTCTCCTCTCAGGAGTCAGGTCCACGGAGGAAGGTTGCACCAGGCCAGCGCCTGACCTTCCTTCCTGGTTTTGCAGGAGAGCCTAGTGGAGGAGTAGGTCCGCCGTGAGCACGGATTTCTCAGAGGAACCCGTCAGCCTGTGCTTGTCCGCAGTGAGGAAGCGAGGGGTGGGGTTGGCGGGCGCGGGGGTACCTCGTACCTGATAGCAGAGGGAGGGTTTTGCGAGGTGAGCTTGGGTTTCGCGCCAGCCGAGCTTGTCAGTCTGGAAGCGCAGCAGTGCCTGGGGCCGTGAGCTCCGAGCCGGGCTTCCCCGGGCTCCAGAGGCACCTGCCGTGGGCACGCGTGCTGTCCGGCTAACAGCGGCCTCAGCTGGTGTTTGCCAGACCCTGCCAAAGCCGATTTTGACCAGAACCCTTTTCTGAACGTTCTAGGCTATCCTAGCAGCTCAGAGACGGGGAGAAGATGTGGAGACTTCCAAGAAGTGTGAGTACTTGTGCTTCCTCACAAAACAAGGGTGCGCTGTCGGGGCATCTCTGTGACAGGCGCCCGCCTCGCCTGTGCTGTCCCCAGGGGTGTCGGGGCGGCTGCCGGCAGCTGGGGCCGCTGCGGGGCTGGGGGACGCCTGGGGTCTCAGCTGAGCAGCTGTGCTCACTTCCTGTAGTGAGGACAGAATTCTGGACTCCGTGCTCTTAAGCCTGTGACTTCCCCGTGTTTGGATACCTGGCTTCCCGTGTCTCCCTGGCACAGGTCGCTTGTCATGCCTGGTTCCCGTCTTGAAACGGCTTTGTTTTGGGTTTGTTGCAAACCCTGTCCTCTGTTTTTGTCGCATGCTGGTCCAGGGGCCGCCGGCCAGAACAAACAGCATTCGATCACCAAGAACACGGCCAAGCTGGACCGGGAGACTGAGGAGCTGCACCACGACCGGGTGACCCTGGAGGTGGGCAAGGTGATCCAGCAAGGCCGGCAGAGCAAGGGGCTGACTCAGAAGGACTTGGCCACGGTGAGCGCGGCAGGGTCGTCCTCCCAGGCTTGGCGGGGG